CTGCCCTAGGTATGGCGGGGGACGTGGCTGCCCTAGAGATGGCGGGGAACGTGGCTGCCCTAGGTATGGCGGGGAACGTGGCTGCCCTAGGTATGGCGGGGGACGTGGCTGCCTAGGTATGGCGGGGGAGAAAGTTTACTGTAACTATGAGGGAGAACAAATCGATCCAGAGAGGGCACAACCAGTAGGACCAAGCCGGGTCATGTGAGGAGAGGGGGAGCCAGGAGGTCAAAAGACCTAAAGGCCAAAGGGGCCGAAAAGAGCTGGTAGCCAAAATGGCTGAGATTATAAAAGGAAAAGCAGTTGGGGGAAGGGAAAGACCATCCCAGTCCCTGGGCTAGAGGAGTTTAGGGTAGGGACAGGTGCCACCCACGAGGATCCTGTAACAGCTTCGGACTGAGATGCTGGGGGAACCTGGCAGCCAACATCAGTTATGACGTGTTAGGCACCTCAGTTAGCATGGGTCCTGGGTTTGAGACCTAACAGTACGGACAGCAGGCGGGTGTCAGAGAGTTTCAGGGTCCTGGAGACATTGTGGGTGGGGGTACCAGGAAGCAGGCAGCTGCAGGAGGCTGAAAATTAGGGCCATGGTTACTGATCAAAGAAAATCTCCTCGAGAGATGAAAAAGAAAGGAAGGATGGGAAGAGGAGAGAAGAGGGAGACAAATGGAAGAGTGAGGAGGGGAGGAGGAGGAGGGAGAGGAAGATGAGGGGGACAGAGAGAAGGAGGAAGAGATGGAAGTGAAAAGGAGAGGAGAAAGAGGAGGCACGCGGGGTGGCAGCCAGAGGAGGAAGAACGCGCCCAGCCTGATCCCCAAGGTCTTCTGGGTCAGCCAAGACACCCAAGAGGATGGTTGCAACCAGCCTGGGGCAGGAAGGACACACAGATGAAGTCACCATTAGGAGGTGGACAGACACATTCCCAAAGCCCACACCCCAGACTGCCCTTGGCAGGGTGTGAGAGTGCCTAGGTTGTCCCTCTGTGGTCTTAGAGCCAAGGTCAGCGCCTGCCCGGGCATGCTCACAGCAGCATGTACCATAGTGGGAAGTTTAGTTCAAGTCGCTGCCCCCCAGGAGCCCGCAGTATAACCCCAAACAGCTCCCTCACCCACCCTCACACCCGTGCCCCACACCCCACCACCAGGTTAGGGTGCTCCAAGACCAGAGGTGGCTAGAGGCGAGAACAGGAACACTAGACACCCCCCACACTTGGTTTTCTGTAACCTTTGCCCCCATCTGAGCTTCACTCTATTAAGGAGCCCCGGAGCCATCACATGGGACTACAAGGACACAATGATCTGAGCACTGGGTGGCAGCCCGAATCCCACGGAAATCCCAGCTCATCTCTGAGTCAGGCAAGACAAGTGGATATGGGGAACCTGTAGACTCGTTTAGCCATGGGGAGCCAGGGTGTCTGCAGGTCTATGGCGGGGACTTAAACTGGGGGATTTGAAGCTCCAGGATTCCAGAGTGTCTGGAGGCCTGTGATTCTGGACAATTCTAAGACCTTGGGTTCCAGGGTTTCTGAGGACGTGGGTAGACAAAACGCCCTAGAATCTGAAAGTCGACTTCTAAAGATCTCTGTGTTCAGTAGCTCCAGAGAGGCTGAGCCAGCCATGCAGGTTTGTCCCATAAAATCAACAGCTTCCCAGACCTAGGGAGGAACAGAACTTGTAACTGATGCCGTGCTTGGCTGTGTGACCTCAGCACCGTCCCTCCTGCTTGAGGAACCTTCTCATTATCGAGATTCTAGGCAATTGCTCAAGGCCCTCTGGGGATCTGAGACACCAGGAGCCAGCCACAGATTCCGGAAGCGTTGGATCATCTCTGTGCTGGTTCCAGTCTACCGCTGCAGAATCCGGAGTCTAGATTAACGCCTGGGAACCTGGAACCAAGACACAGAGCCTCGATGAGCACTGAGCGCTGAGCACATGCTCCACGGTCAACTGTAGCAATCCAGAACCAGAAGCCAGGCTGTCCCGAGTCCAGATGTTTTGTTTGGATTTTACCCTACCTCAGGCTAGATAGCCCAGGCTACTTCAAACCTCCACCTTCCTGTCTCTACTTCCTAAGTGTTTGGATTGTAATAAACAGCCTTATGGCAGTAGGCCTGATTCAGGGCAAGCTCTGTACTTTCTTTGTTTTGTTTCTGCTGCTGTTATTGTTTGAGGCAAGTCTTGGGTGTCCCAGGTGAGCCTCGAGATCACTGTGTGGGCAAGCAAATCCTGAACTCCTGATCCTCCGACCTCAGGCCCCCAAGGGCTGGGGTTGCAGGCACGTGCTATCATACCTGGTTTATGTGGTGCTAGGGACAGAATCGAGGGTCAGAGGAGGATGAGGAGATGACACCAGAAGAAGGAAACTATGCAGAACACAGGCCTGAGCCTCAGAAGTTAGTCTCTCAGACTTCTGAGCCCAGGCACGGGACCTCAGACTTCAGTTCTGAGCCCAGGCACGGGACCTCAGACTTCAAAGTACACTCTCTAGGGTGAGGACACGGCTCAGTGAACAAAGTGCTTGTCACGCAAGCCTGAGGACCTGAGTTCAATCCACAGAACCTACCTGAGAATCCAGCTTGAGCCTGTGCTCCACGGGGAGACCAGAATGGTGGGTCTCTGGAGCCGGCTGCCAGACCAGCCTAGGTCTACCAGGGAGCTCCAAGTCCAGCTGAGAGAATCTGCTCAAAAAACAAGGTAGAGGGGCTGCAGACACAGCTCAGCAGTTGAGAACCTAGTCTGCTCTCCCACAGAACTGAGCATGGTTCCCAGCACCCGTGTCAGGTAACAACCAACACAACCTCCTGTTACCCTCGCTCCTGGGAGTCGAAGGCCTCTGACCCCCATGGGCTATGATGTGCTGGGCACCTCAGCTAGCATGTGTGCACTGCGCTGGTGCACGGGCTCACATGTGCACTCGTCCACAAAGTAAAAGCAACAAGGTGAACTTAGAAAGACGCAGTTCAAAACTGTCTCCCAGACCCCAGAAGCGTGGCTTTAGAACTCAGCTTCCACACCTCCGCCCAGGATCCCAGGCTCGCATTTCACTACCTTCCCGTTTCCTGCACTTGTTGTCCTGCCCCTGGATGGAATCCTCCCAACAGACTCGGACAGTGACTTCAGACTAATAAATGCTCATTAGACCAACCTAGTCTGGCATTGCACCTGCCACCAGGGCGTCCAGCCTGTAAACCTCACCTTCCACTGCCTCTCACTCCACTCTACCCAACCCCACCCAGACCCAGGCTGGGCCGGGAGCTTATAAATACAAGCTTTCAGATGTCTGGTCCCCTTCTGGTATCCCAGCTGCTTTGGATGTCACTGGAGGACCTGGAGGGGGTGAGATATTTGAAGAAAGAGCTTGGGAAAGTGAGTGGGGGGTGGAGAGGGGACCCTGAAAGTGCCTTGGTCTCTAGGAGGCGCAGACAACCCTGAAGGACCAGTTGTCAAGGGCATTGGGTCGTTTGGGTCCTTTTCCTGTAGCTTCAAGTTAAATCTGAACCAAGAAAATGTCTCAAAGCTTCTAGAGAGAGCCTGGAATGAAGGGGGAGAGGGGTGGAGGGACTTGAGAGGACGTCCCTAGAAACACTTGTCATGGAGCCAAGGACATGGTCAGCAGTTACCATAGGTCAAGTCAGTTCAAAACAACTTCCCTGAGGTGTCCCCAGTGCTAGGTCCCAGACTGAGCAGAGCTGGGGACAGGAGGTTCTGACCTGAACTCCATCTTCCTCTTGGATGGAGAGTGGGAGCAGCCAGGTCTCAGTCTGCAGCCAGTGCTACCATGCAGGGGCAAGATGGGTGCCACAGGGTCTTAATGACATCCCCTCTGGACTACAGTGTCTTGGAAGAGTCCCGCTGAGCTGAAAAAGTAAATAGCAAGATGCAAGATGAGAAAGACTTTAATTCACTCCTCCAAGCTCCTGGAGGTCTCTCCAGACCCTAACACTTGGTGGTACCTAGGAATCCAGGGTTAGTCATTGGGGGTCTGCTCCAAAGGAGTTCTCAGTCTGATAAGGAGACACCACAGAGAGTCAGGGGAAGGGTTATTCGAGGTTGAAGGGAGACACGCTGAGCAAAGCCAGGGAGAAAACTACTGGACCAAAGTCCAGCACTGTCTGTGCCTAGGAAGGGTCCCAAAAACCCAGCCTGGCAGGCTGGAAGAGGAGCAGACATTTCTGTCCCTCAAAGGACTGCTGAGGATATGGGACTTTATTTGGGGGCTATCAGAAGTCCGTGGGAGGCTGCGAGCAGGAGAGAGCAGCCCTCAGCTCTGCTGTAGAAAGACCCTGTCAAGCTAGGTGTGGTGGTGAATGCCTGTCATTCATCACTTAGAGGCTACGGTGTGGGAATGGCGAGTTCAAGACTAGCCTGCGAAACTTAGTGAAAACCCTGTCTCAAAATGAATAGTAAAAGAAGAGGTGGGGATGTGACTTAGTGGTGTGCATTCCTAGAACTCACCAGTGAGGATCAAGGGGCATGGCTTGGTGCAGTTGGCCAGCATAGGTCAGGCCTTGGTACCCCAGAGGAAAGGAAGAAAGAAGAGAAGAGTGGAGGGAAGGAGGAAGGGAGCTTAGCTCTCTAGGACTTTGTGTATAGGGTATGGACGACTACAGGAGTACTTGACTTAAGGGGACCCCAGAGTCCCCATGGGAACCTGGATAGAGTCCTGATCCGGAGCCATGGGGATGAGAGAGACCCAGGAGTTGTTGGCTAATACTGGGGTCTTCAATAATGAAAGGAACAGAGGACCCCACCGAGATAGGAACCAGGAGCATGGGTGGACGCTGCGGGGGATGGGAGGCAGGGAAGAGCGTGTGAGGACGCTGAGGGAGATGGGACACAGGGAGGTAAAGTAGTTTCCTAGGCTAGCATAGCATGTCAAGACTGTCATCTTGACAGTCGGGAGGCTGAGGCTGGAGGACCGTGAGTTTGAGGCTAGCCTAGGATGTATAGGAAGACACTATCACAAAAGACAGAGAAAAGTGTGCCACACACAGGGATGCATTTCTGCAGGCATAGTGATGGGGACAGATGCATCCAGCCTTACCCCAGTTTTTGTCGTCCTCCCTGCCACCAGGTCTCCGAGCCCAGGACCCTCCTCCACAATGTGGTTTCTCCTTGCTTTCGTCTTGCTCGTGTCTGCAGGTGAGGGACACCAAAGTTGGTGTTGGTCTGATGAAATGGGGGTGCCCCCTTCCCCAGAGTTTCTGCAACCTAGGACCTGTTAGTCCATACTTCACCCAGAGACACTCCACCTGAGTCACCTGCCAAATGTCCCCGAATGAGTCATCAGTCATCAGGTCTGGAGATGCTGAGCCACCTGAGTTCCAAGACCATTCCTTCTTGCTGTGTAGCCTTGGGGAAACTGTCTTACCTCTCGGGGCTCGAGTGCTTTCTACCTGTGACAGACACCAGACACCGTGAAGTCTTAACCACATCACGAAGGTGATGTACAGGACAAGCAATCAGGCTGGTTGAGACACCAAGAGCACAGGATCTAGATTTGAATCCTGTGGCTGCCAGTTCCCCAACTCTGCAACCCTGGTTTCCCACGCATAGGATGGAGGCAACTATTAAAACTCAGTGTGAGGTTCCATGAGGTGTGTGAGCATGAAGGAACAATTTGGACACTCCATGCAGGGCACAGAGCATTTACACATAATGACCATGCGAGGCAGGGGGCTGCAGCAATGGCCCCGTGGATAAATGTTTTCTGTGGAATCGTGAGGATCTGAGTTCAGATCCCCAGTACCCACATGAAAAACCAGCCGTATGCCTATAAAATTCCAGAGCTGGGAGGAGGAGATGGGGATCAATGGGCTGGCTACCATCCAGTCCAGCCAATCTGTAAGCTCCAAGTTCAGTGAGAAAATCCATCCCCCAAATAAGCTTGGGTCTGGTGACGACACAGATGGTAATGCTGTCAAGTCTGGATAGCTGAGTGTGAGACCCACACACCGCCTTCACTTACCAGGGAGCAGGTTGAAAGTAGGGTGGTCACTAAACCAAGGTCACCCTGGGTGACAGGCCAACCCCAGACCAACCTCTACTACATCTTGTGGAAATTTTCTATGTAACCTGATGCTTCCTGCCCTGGAGAAATTGGAGGGGGGTGTCCATTAACTATCCTCCTGCTCCCCACATGACCTCTGCCTAGGGCTCTCAGCCCTGCCCCACGGCAGGCAAGTCTCCCCTGGGGCTCTCCCTGTGCTCTGCCCCTGCTGTCTGCTGCAGCCAGCCGGGGCCTCTGCCCTCCTCCAGCTGGGACTGGCCGGGTGCAGCCCCATGCCCAGCTGCTCAGCCAGTGCTGTCCTCCACAAGGCGACCTCACCCCTCCTCTGCTAAGCCCCTCTTCTGCCACATCCGCATTCCCACAGCTTCCCAGGCCCTTTGGCCCTGTTCCTGACCTTGGAGGACAGAGGGTGAAGTGTGGACATTTGGCTTGGTTGTAACACAGCCAAGAGTTGGGTGTCTATCATGGTCTTGACCTTGGAGGAGTGGGGCGGCCACATGGCTCAGTATAAGGAACTGTGGCTTCAAATATCTCAATTATGTCATTATATGTGGTGCCATTCTCTCTCTCTCTCTCTCTCTCTCTCTCTCTCTCTCTCTCTCTCTCTCTGAGTGTGTGTGTGTGTGTGTGTGTGTGTGTGTGTGTGTTACCATTCAGAAGCATGAGCCAGGTCTCCCCTTGTGAACTTCAAAGAGTGACCTTAGACACCAGTGATCCTGTCTCCTCTGTCTCTCCTGCCAGATACCTTTGACCGTGAAATCTCAGTGCTACATTTGGTGGCCTCTGAATGTGGTCTAGGTTGGTGGGGCCTGTCCATGTCTGAGTATTGGCCCTGCAGATGGGTCTCTGAGTTCTACAGAATGACTTGTAGGTAGAAACATCTTTACACTGTGTGCCCCTGCTTGTGGATAACAGAGGTCAATATTAGTTCCTTCCTCAGGCACGGTCCGCCTTGTTTTATTTTATTATTTTATGTGGAGGAGTGTTTTGTCTGCATTTATGTATGTGCACCTTGTGCGTACCTGGTGCCTGATCCAAAGGGGCCATCAAATCTCCTGGAACTAGAGCGCGAGAGCCGTGGAAATTAAATGGAAATTAAAACTGGGTCCTCTGGAAGAGTAGTCAGTGCTCTTAACTAGTGAATCTCTCCAGTCCCACTTTAATTTTTTAACACAGAACTTTTCGAATGCTGATTAGGCCATGCTGGCTGCCGGGGGAGCTCCAGGGACCCCACTGACCCCAGCACTGCAGTCACAAACCTGCACCACCATGCCTGACTTTTTACCTGGATCCTAAGGATTGAGAGTGGGCCTTCACTCTCACAAGGCAAGGACTTTCCAGCTGACTCGTGTTTCCAGCCTTTACATTGTGGTTTTGATGTTGGCTGTTGTAACTAGGTCTGTGCAGATGGCTGCCATACTTTGACCGTACCTGTGTCACTAGCCTGAACATCCGCATGGACATCCCCCAAAATAAATGGGTGTCCTTTGTTTAAAGTAACAAATACACATGACTATAATCCCAGAACCTGAAAGACTTAATTAAGAGAGAGAGCTGCCCTGTGTTCAGTCCACCCTGGTTACATTGTAAGTTTCAAGCCAGGCTATGCAACAGAGTGAGACCCTGCCTTAAAACACTGAGGAAACAAAGAGTTACAATGTGCCAGGTATAATCACACACATACCTGGGCACCCACAAGGGCACCCATAGGCCCCTCTTATCCTCATGGAGAACAAGTACCAAGAGATCAACCTCTGACTGGGGACAGAGCTCGGTCCGTGAGCTACTTGCCGTGCAAGTGTGGCGACCTGAGCTTGAGCCTCAGAACCTGTGTCACAAGCCATGTATGTAAGGCATCACTGGGTGAGGGAAGACACAGTGGGTTCCTGAGGCTCCCTGGCCAGCCAGCCTAGCAAAGTCAGACAGCCCCAGGTTCAGTGAAAATAATCCAGTCTCCGTAATCAAGATGTGCATGCCTGAGGAATGGCACTAGAGATTGTTCTCTGGTCTACATGCACATGTGTGTGCCTATATATATATGGGCATGCAAACACAGGAGTCAACGCCTCATGGCAAGTACAGACAGCAACTGTCAAAACCAGATACCAGCTTCAAGATGTGTCTGTATGTGCATATGTATGTTTGTAATATGCATGTGTACTCACCTGTGCAGTGGGGGTAGAAACAGAGGTTAACACTCAGTGTCTTTCTCCATCCCTTCTCCTTATGTATTTTTTTTTGCTTTAGTTATTTTCTTTACAAGTGTGTGTGAGAGAGAGAGAGACAGAGACAGAGACAGAGAGGCAGAGAGAGAAAGGTACCCCCAGAAGTCAGAAGAAAGCCTCCTGGAACTGGAATTGTAGGCAGTTGTGAGCCTCCATGTTGGTCCTAAAATTTGCACTGAGGTCCTCTGCAAAAGCAACACGAGTTCTTCACTACTGAGGGCTTCACTAGCCCTCCATCTTTTCTCTTCTTTGTGCCTCACAGATCTCAGCATTACAGTAGCTAGTCAGCAAGCCCTGGGATCAGCCTGTCCTCCCTGCCCAACTCCAGCACTGGGGAGCCACACCTGGCTTTTTATGTGGGTGTTGAGGATCCAAACTCAGCTCCTCATGCAGCAAGCACTTTACCCAGGGAGCCTTCTCCAGCCCTAAGCAGGAATACCTTTTCTTTTCTTTTCTTTTTCTGTTTTTCTTTTCTGAGACAAGGTTTCTGTGTGTTTCCCTGGCTGTCCTGGAACTTGCTCTGTAGATCAGGGTGGTCTTGAACTTAAAGATCGGCCTGCCTCTGCCTCTGGAGTGGTAGGATTAAAGAAGGGATTTCTTAACGAACAAAGGGAGGAGGGCCTGGGTGAAGCAGGAAGTGAAGATAGCGCGAGTTGTGGGTAGGGATGCTGCAAAGGAGGGACTCATGCAGAGTCTTCCATGTCTCTCCACAGCTCAGGACGGTGACAAGGTACTAGAGGGCGAGGAGTGTGTGCCCCATTCACAGCCGTGGCAAGTGGCCCTCTTCGAGCGTAGCCGTTTCAACTGTGGCGCCTTCCTCATCTCCCCACACTGGGTGCTGACTGCTGCCCACTGCCAAACCCGGTATAAAGGCAGGGTATGACGGGTCCTGTGGGTGATATGACCTGAAGCTTCTAGGTTTGGTGTAAAGGCAGGATATGGAGAGTCCTGAGGGTGACTATGACGTGAAGCTTCTAGGTTTGGGGTATATGGACTGCTGGGCTTGAGTGGGGAAGTAACCTAAGTTCTTGGTTCCTAAGGAATGGGAAACCTTGAGTTGAAGGCCTTGGTGAGAAGGGGTGTGGATCCTACACCTCTAAAGGGCAAAGAGAAGGCTGCAAAGGTCCCATCTTTGGGGCCCCTGATGGGAGAGGGGTTGAGTGGGTGGGAATTTTCTATTCTGAAGAAGGGAAGGGGAAAATCTGGCACTGAGTTGTGCATGTGTGCCTGACTTAGGACCTCCTAGCTTAGTTTGTCTGGTTTTTTGTTTTTTTGTTTTGTTTTGTTTTGTTTTTTGAGAGAGATAAAGTCCCACTTTGTACCCCAGGTCGCTTTAGAACTCACTATGTAGACCAGGCTGGTCCAAAACTTACAAAAATTTGCCTTCCTCTTCCTCCTAAGTGTTAGGGTAAAGGCATGCACCCTGAAACTTGTGGATTCTTGAGGGGCCATGGCTGGAACCATTTTGGCTTCAAAAACTCGAGAAAAGGAAAAGAGATTTTGAGGTTTTCAACGGGTCAGATAATCGCAGGTTGTCAACTCTTTGACCCCTTTGTCTACTCCTTTCGGGTAACTGCTCGCCCACCCAGCTTCATGAGAGTCCGGCTGGGCGAGCACAACCTTCGCAAGCGCGATGGCCCAGAGCAAGTGCGTTTGGTCGCTCGAATCATCCCACATCCGGGCTACGAGGCTCGCACCCATCGGCATGACATCATGTTGTTGCGACTTCTCCAGCCTGCCCGGCTCTCACCCCAGGTGCGTCCTGTGCCTCTGCCCACACGTTGCCCATTTACCGGCGAGAACTGTGTGGTGTCAGGCTGGGGCCTATTATCAGACAACAAGCCTGGAACCACAGGGAGTCACAAGCCACAAGGTGCGTGGAAGGATGGAGCTGGATCTGGGAATTCCAGCAACACTGTCCTTCGTTCTTGGGTTCTTGGGTGGAGGGCTCAGGAACCAAAGCAGAGACTATACTCAAAGCCATCTGTCCCTCTCAGTGAGACTCCCGGATACGTTGCATTGTGCCAACATCAGCATTATCTCCAAGGCATCCTGTAACAAGGACTACCCGGGTCGAGTGTTGCCCACCATGGTGTGTGCTGGTGTAGAGGGCGGTGGCACGGACTCCTGTGAGGTCAGAGCCAAGTGGGGACTTTGGGTAAAGGCGCGGGGCGGGGGCGGGGTGTATCCTAGTTTGCTTTCCTGTTTCTTTAGCTCACAAACTCACAGTCCATCACTGAGGGAAGGCAGGGCAACAACTCAGGTGTGAACCTAAAGCAGAATCCATGGAAGGAAGGATGCTGCTTACTGGCTTGATCACTGGCTCCCGTTCAGCTGGCTTTCTTCTCTTCTCGTCTCTTTTTTTTTTTTTTTTTTTTTTTTGTATGTTTGTGCACCACATAGTGTAGTGCGCATAGAAACCAGAAGAGGACCCCTTGGAATAGAAATTACAAACAGTTGTGAACTGCCTTGTGGGTGCTGGGTCCTATGCAAGAGCAGTCAGTGATCTTAACTGCTGAGCCATCTCTCCATGGCCTACAGCCAAGTCCCATTTGCCTAGGGGATGATGCCACTCACAGGGAGCTGGATCCTCCCACATTGAAGACAACTTCCTACAGATGTGCTCAACATGGCATTCTCTCGGTTGAGACTCCTCCGATGATCCTAGGCTGTGTCAAATTGGCAGCTGAAGCTAATTAAGACAGAATAGGCCAAGTAGGATTGCTTAAATTTTCTTTGTTTTGGACCAGAAACAATGCTAAGATTAGGTATGGGATGGAATTCCCGGAGCAGTTAGAATCATGGTGAGACTGGAAAAGGGGTTAGACATGCGGGCATGGGGAGGGTTATAGGGTTTGGGGAAGCATGGAATGGAGCTAAGAAGGGAAGTGATGGGAAGTATATTGGGGTTGGCATGGGAGGTGTGGGTTTGGGGGAAGGGTGAGAAAAGTGCAAAGATTGGGATTGGGTTGAGTTTGGTGAGCACAGATTCAGTGTGATTTTGAATGGGGAAGATGTGTGGAGTGGATGGAATCTAACTTGAGCTTACTGCCATCTGTGGGGCTGGATAGTGCAAGTCAGAGCTGGGGGCCGGGGTTGGCTCTCTTGGGTTGTGTTGAGTCAGAGTAGGCTTGGATGGGTTTGGGGTAATGTTGGAGTTTCCTGGGGTGAGGTTGGTTTGGGGCTTCACTAAGATGAGGAGCAGTGGCTAGTGGGAATAAGGTCGACAGTAGGTGGGGGTGTGACTCCGCTGGTAATGTCCTCGCATGCACAAAGCTTGGGTCCCAGCTCCAGCACCGTGTAAACCACGCATGGCAGTGCACACCTGTAACCCAAGCACTTGTGGAGTTGAGGCAGGAGGATGAGGTGTTTATCCTCTCGCTGCATGGAATGGAATATTGAGGAAAGCCTCCCTTTACCCCCACAGGGTGATTCCGGAGGACCTCTGGTCTGCAGCGGTGCCCTGCAGGGCATTGTCTCGTGGGGTGACGTCCCCTGTGATACTACCACTAAGCCTGGCGTCTACACCAAAGTCTGCAGCTACTTGGAGTGGATCCGGGAAAGCATGAAAAGGAACTGACTCGTTGGAACCACCCACTAGGTCCTCACTGACTGACAGCCTAGGACCCTGACCAAGAGTGCCCATAGCTGGCCAGCCGCCCCATTCCTACCTGAGACAGAGCTGAGCCCCTCCATACTCTGACATGCACAGTTAGCCAGGGCCTCTCCCCGGCTGAAGTCACCTGCTTAACACCAAGAAAGCAGTGTTTTCCCAGCACTAAGGAGGCAGAGGCAGGTAGATCTCTAAATCCAAGGCCAGCCTGTTTTACAGAGTGAGTTCCAGGATACCCAGAACTATACACAGAAACCCTGTCTCAAAAAAAAAAAAAAAAGTGTTGGTCCAACCTTCCCTGTAGGGTGTGACTTTCTCTCTTTACGGTATGATGGGAAATGGGTGGGGGGCTAGGATACAAAGTCTACAGTTCCATGGCACCCAGAGTCTTTTTCCCTACGTGATGGAACAAGACTTCAGGTATGACTTTGCTCGTTTAAACCAGATGTGGGATGCTGATTGGATCAGGGGTATGACCTCACTCATTCTTGGTTTTACCATCTGTGAAATGGGTCACAATAGCACTTGTCTCCTAGGGTGTCTGTGAAGATTAAATGAATCATTCATCTTGAGAGATCAGAGCAGTGTCTGCCACTTTGTCCACACTCTGAACTGTACATTTCAGTGAGAGGACTCAACACACACTAGATTTCCAAGAGCTTTTGGTTAGTTAGTTCTAGGCTCTCTGGTGGCCAAGGCAACAAGACCAACACTCCCTTTCCCTCGGTCATGTTGATGATATACAGTACAGGCTAGGATACCTCGGCCACGTTGGTGACATACAGTACAGGCTAGGATGGATACCTTGGCCACGTTGGTGACATACAGTACAGGCTAGGATACCTTGGCCACGTTGGTGACATACAGTACAGGCTTGGATACTGTGAGCTGCCTTGCTGATCGTATCCAGGTCTCAAGTTTGAAACTTGTGACTTTACCATCAAGGCTATGGGAGTCCAGTAATTACTGGGGTCACTGAATGTTGAAACCCTTGATCTTGGCCATTGAAATAGATATATTAGATTGAGTGAGGGGTTGTCATTGCAACTTCTAATAATATCTTTATTGCACATATTTATTTGTGTGTGTGTGTGTGTGGAGGTCAAAGGACATATTCTGAGAGATGACTGAGGGATTGAATTTAAAAACTGTCAGGCTGGGCTGGGGAAATGGCTCAGAGGTTAAGAGCACTGCCTGTTCTTCCAAACGTCCTGAGTTCAATTCCCAGCATCCACATGGTGGCACACAACCATCTGGAATGGGGTCTGGTGCCCTCTTCTGGCCTGCAGGCATACACACACAGACAGAATATTGTATACAAAATAAATAAATAAATATTTAAAAAATAAAAATAAAAAAATAAATAAAAACTGTCAGCCTTGGTAGCAGACACCTTATCCACGGAGCCATCTCACCAGTCTCAAAATATTTTTATTTACTTAATTATTGTTTCACGTTAGCCAAGGATGGCCTGATCTTCCTGCCTCCACATCTCCCATGCTGGTTTTACAGTCATGTATTCCCACACCTGGTTTTGGTTTTACACGGACCTGTGGCTTAGACCCAGGGCTTCATGCTTGCTAGGCATCACCCCCCTACTGACCTACATTCCCAGTTCCTGCCAACTCGCGCACACACACTTCTTTTAGGGTCGCAGACCTTGCCAAATGGCTGAGCTGACCTTGAACTCCTGATTCTCCTGCCTCAACTTCCCAAGAGTGTGAACTACCACACCAGGGTCTGTGGTAATAATCTTGATTTGGGGAAAGCTGCTAGTTCAGATCTTTGGGACTTTGAAGGACATGACCTTGAGCATCCTTGTCTAGGGTACAAGGAATAGAAAGGTCATTGAGCCCCCAACAGTCCCCTGGGGTAGCCTGAATTTTCATATTCTTGGATCAAAGAATGTGCTATGATAATGTGCATTCTAACTTTTTATTTTATTTTATTGATTTGTTTTGAGACAACTCTCTATATAGCCCTGACTATCCTGGAACTCACTATTTAGACTAGGCTGGCCTCGAACTCACAGAAGTGCACCTGCCCCTGTCTCCCAAGTGCTGGGATTAAAGATGTACACCACCATGCCTGCTCATTAGACTTCTAACAGGAACAATAAAATCAATGATTTAGATTCCAGGTCTAAGAAAGTAAGAATCCTGACATTCTCAAAACCAAGATTTGTATTTGCAGGGAGTTTGGAGCCCTCTTGGCTACAAGGAATTTGTTTTGACTGTTGGTTCCTGAGGGTGTGCTGGGACCTTCCTTGGAGCTGTTCGGTAGGGTCGCTTGCCCCTGCACCCTCCTGCTGCACTCCTTCCCCACCACCTGACCTTGCCATTCTGGCTATGGTCCCCAGATCACAGGCAGCTCCAGGAACAGCGGCCCTGGCCCCACCCAATCTCAGCCCTGGGAAGGTGTCCAGGGTGACCTAGGGCCTGCAGGACAGCAGGTGCCATGAGTCCCTCCCCTCCCACAGCTGTGAGGGTGGGAGTGGGGAGTTTACCTCCGTCAGCAAGGGCAGTGCCTTTGCCAGCATCTGGCTGCCAACAGGGCAGGGGCGGGGCTGGGGGGGAGACTACGGGTTTTTAAAGGCTCCCTGAGGAGGCTCCTCAGCTCCAAGCTCACCGCCTTCGGCTCCTGGACACCTGTCACCATGTGGTTCCTGATCCTGTTCCTTGCCCTGTCCCTGGGAGGGACTGGTGAGACATGGGAGAAGGGGAGCGGGAGCGGGAGCGGTCAGAGCCCTAATTCTCATGCCATTAGCCCTGGAAATCCCTTCCCCTTTCCCCTCACCCCAGCTGCATCCCAGAGCACATCTGCCCCTCTCCCTGCCCCTGCCCCTGCCCCTCTCCCTGCCCCTGCACACTGCCAAGTCCCTCACAGCCCTCATTCCCATATCAGGCCCCTGTTCCCTCCCATTTTCCAGAACTTTCTCCTCTTCTTTAGCCATCTGACAATTTCTGGCCTCTCCAGTCTTGCCAAGGAACCCAGTCCCTTACAGACTTTGGGACCTTGGTTGTCCCTCTGGCTTGCTGTCTGAGTTAGGGGTTTCCCCCAAACCCCACACCTAGAGACTTTGGCTGTCCAGCAGTTGTCAGCCTTCAGTTGTACCCTCTAGTCCCGACAGCTGGTTCCCCCATCTTCTCAAGACCCTCAGTTTTTACCAACAGTCTTGGCTTGTGACATCAGATAGGTCCCCCATTTCTGGCGTGGGGGATCTGCCCATGTCCCTTCTCACTGGGTTTTTGTGTTTGGTCTGATTTGGGGAAGTGTTGGGTGGTGAGAGCCAGAAGCAGATATCCAGTGTCTTACTCAATGACTTAGCACCTTATTTTTAAGGCAGGGTCTCTCACTGAACGGAGTGCTCCCTGGACTTGGCTAGGCTGGCTGGCCGGCAAGCCTGGGGGTCCTACTGTCTCTGAGGTTCCAGATGCACCTCATCACACCTGACTTTATCTGGGTTCAGGGAGATGAACTCAGGTCCTAATGCTTGCATGGCCAGTACTGTAGCAACCAAGCCGTCTCCCCAACTCTTGGGAATAAGGTCTCATTATGTACCCAGGCTTGTCTCAAGCCCATAGCAATCCACCATGCCTGACCCCCCTTTCCTCTGGCCCGATCTTCCCTCCCATGCATGCCTTCCACCCTCACCCACTGGCTCCTGTCCCCTCCCGACTGAGTCCCACCGCACAGATCCAGGACTTCCCAAAGACCCCAATACTGGAACCTAGTACCCCATACCAAGTGGGTCCGCTCCCCCACTCCATGGTGGCCTGACCTGTTTTAAATCCTTTTTCACTCCTACGCTATAGCTGTCTCCAAGAGAACCCCAGACCACTAGCCCCCCACTTCCATGAGAAGCAGAGCCCTTCCCCCACGATGCCCAGTCTTTCTTTCTCTCACTACCTGTCCCATCTCAAACACTTTTCTCAGGGAGCTCCTCCCCACCACAAACCCTAACAGGAGCCCACCCCTAGCCTTAACCCTACTCCTTTGACCTGGAAACCCCTCCTTATCTCCCAGCCCAGCTGGACACTTCATGCCCAATCCAGGAACCCCCAAATCACCTTGGGCTCCCTTTCCTGGGTTCATTTATCCACTCAGGCCTATTTCCCTGAGACCTCACACCAAAAACCCAGCCCAAGTCCTGACTTCTTCTCAAGTCTTGGAAACTCTAAATGCCAAACCTTTTTGACCTCTGATTCCACTCTCATTGGACTAAGAGCCACTGGATTCTGGAATCCCCCTGCCTCCACCTCCCTCTCTGAGCCAGCCCCACCCCCACTGCTCTGTCGCAGGTGCTGCGCCTCCCATCCAGTCTCGGGTCATCGGAGGATTTGACTGTGGGAAGAATTCTCAGCCCTGGATGGCAGCCGTGTACCACTACTCCAAATTCCAATGTGGGGGCATCCTGGTGCACCCCAAGTGGGTGCTCACAGCTGCCCACTGCTACAACGAGTGAGCAGGGCAGGGACAGGGAAGCAGGGTGGCAGCCAGAGAATGTGACTCCAGGCTAGGCTGGGCACTGAAGGGCTGAAGGTTGAAAGAGAAGCAGAGCTGGGCTAGACCCCTCTCTCCATGACCTCCTGGGTCTCCCTGTGCTCCCTCCAGGCTTGCATTTGATTCCTATTTCTTTCTTTTATGTCTCATTGTCCATGTGTCCCCTGTCTGTACTCAGAGCTGAGAGCCTGTGGTCATCTGCCACTATGCGACTCCCCCTCCAGGTCTCTGCCCAGCCTTCTCTGGGTCTGGGTCTCACTTGCCCTCCTAGGCCCCAGGGGCTCCCCGAGGCTAGGAAGGGATGTCCCTGAGTATAGAAGTGGGAGAGCCCACTGTCCCCAGGCCAGTTTGGCCCTTAGGGCCTACTGCCCACTCAGAACACACAGAGAAGGGCTGGTCTGAGCTGGAACTGGGTGAGGGCAACTGAGTGAGTACAGAGGGAGGACAGGGTGCTGGGGTGGGGTGGGGGGGAGCAGGGGAGAGCCTTGGGCTGTGGGCCAGGCTTCACCTGCCCGGGAAGCTCGGCCCAGTCACAGCTGCAGCTGAGCAGTTCTCAAGCCTTCTTTCTCTCCCTGCCCCCTCTTCCCTTGTGCTCTCTCCCTCTCCCTCCCTCTCTCCCTCCCTCCCCCCCTCTGCGTGTGTGTGTGTGTGTGTGTGTGTGTGTGTGTGTGTCTTTCTGTGCCTTTCTGTCTCTCCTGCCTTCCATTGCTCTCCCTGCTCCCAGCAAGTACCAGGTTTGGCTGGGCCGCAACAACCTATTTGAGGATGAACCCTCAGCTCAGCACCTGTTTGTCAAGGAAAGCATCATTCACCCTGACTTCAACATGGACCTCCTGAAGAACACCACCCAAAACCTTGAGGAGGACTACAGCAATGACCTGATGCTGCTGCACCTTGACCAGCCCGCTCAACTCACAGATTATGTGAAGGTCCTCAGCCTGCCCACCGAGGAACCCAAGCTGGGGAGCAGCTGCCTTGCCTCAGGCTGGGGCAGCATTGAACCCAGCAAGTGTAAGTCTGGGCCCAACCACACAGCCTTAGGAGGGACACCTGGGTCTGAAGGAGAAGCCGAGAACAAGGCTGGGGTCTGCTGACCATGCTCTTGCCCCCTGATCCATAGTCGAATACCCAGATGATCTCCAATGTGTGTACCTCGATCTCTTGCCTAATGAGGAGTGTGCCAAAGTCCACTTCCATACAGTGACTGACTTGATGCTGTGTGCAGGAGACTTAAAAGACGGAAAAGACACTTGTGTGGTGAGTGGCCCTCCTCCTGCAGTGTGCTGAAGGGGCTGAAAGAGGGACAAGATCCTCATCCCCACATCCAGGCAGGTGCGTCTCGCCCTTCCCTGTGGAAGTGATGAGCTCTGGGAGGGGAGAATCCTGTCGCTGGTACTACCTCTCTTTGACGTGGCTTCAGGGACTGTCCTGTCCTCCTACTCTAACTCCATGTCCCTGCAAGAACAGGACTCCCAAGAGCTGGAGTTGTCCCAGGCTGTTCAGCAGGACCCAACTGCCAGGACCTTCCTCACTCCTGTCCCTCTCCTTTCAGGGTGACTCAGGAGGCCCGCTGATCTGTGATGGCATGCTCCAAGGTGTCACATCATGGGGCCCTACCCCGTGTGGCATACCCGAAAAACCGGGCATCTACACCAAACTTATTGATTTCGTCCCCTGGATAAACAAAGTTATAAAGGAAAACACTGACTGACACACTGTCCCCTGCCCCCAATAAAACCCACCATGCAGCAAATGAGTTCAAGTTCTGACATTCTCTGGCCTTCCAAAGTTGGGTACCAAGTCAACCAGCTGAGGTCAGGACCTCCCCAGTGGATCTCAGCTTGTGGAAAGGGACGGGTGGGTACATGCACAGGTGGTCAAAGGGATGGGGCTGAGACAGCTGCCGACAAAAGGCTCAGACCAAGTCAGGGATGCCACATGAGTCCACTCTGGCGAGGAAAAGACTCAGATCTCAAAGGTGAAGTTAGAGACGTCAGGAAGGTCCGCTCCAGCTAGACCTGGCCCTTTCTGGAGAGATAACAAGCAATCGGACACTGAAAATTTGGGCTGCCGACCTGGTTTTATAGAGTATGGGAAGCCAGGAAGGAGGCAGGATGTTATACCAAGCCTTGACTTCCTGGGGAGGGGTCTGTCCACAGAAGGGCGGGAACCCCTCCCCCCAAGGATGGGCTGCAGAGTATCCATCTGGGGCCACTGGAGGGGACTACTTGAGAGTGGCTGGACCAAAGGATGGAGAATGCCTTTGGGGCGCGGCCTGTGGGGCGGATCATCGCCCGGCTTGGGGGCGGGGCCACACTGCTCCGGCTGCTTGGGACCGTGAACCAGTGTCTGCTCAGAGGGACATAGCCTCAGCCTTGAGCATTGGAAGACTTCCAGGGTGGGTTCCTTGCCAAGACTCAGACTACAAGGGGTGGGTCCTAGTGCAGGGGAGCGGTGCTTGCCACCTGTCTCCCGAGGGTGCTGCCTGCTCTCAGGAGAAGCGTGGGACCTCAAGGGAGGTCTGACGGTGGCGGAGTCACAGGGACAGAGGTGGAGGAATCTGGCTGCGGGGACTCCTCAGTGTTCTGAGAAATTGCAGAGTCCCCCCGTGAGGAAGCTCCATGGTCGTTCACAAAGCTGCTTTCAGCAGATGGAGTCTGGTCCGAATTGGACTGCAGCGGCAATTGGTGTCTCAAGGCCCAACGGAAGTAGCTGACCCTTCGCTCCATGAGAGGCGTAGTGTAGCTCCACATTCGCACTTGGTTGAAGAAGGACAGAGTTCCTGTGGGAAGGGACCCGGTGGGCACTCGACTCTGAGCCCCACCTCGGGCCCCCACCCTGGCCCTGGAGGCTGACCCCCTTTTCCTGGGCTCCGCCCCTGCCCTGCCCTACCCAAGCCCCGCCCTTCCATCCGAGGCCCCGCCCTCACCGGCCCACAGCATCAAGACGCTGGCGCACCAGCACAGGTAGAAGGCCAGCAGGTAGGATACCTGTGGCCTCGGGCGCAGCCTATCGCAGTTGACGACAAAGAGCGTCAGGCTGAGGAGAATCAGGAACCCTGCACTGGGGTGGGGCCAGAGAAGGACAGGAGGCTAGACAGGGGAACCCCCTCCCAGGAAGAGGAGAGAGACAGAGACAACCTCCCTGATCTGCCACACGTAAACACACACACACACACACACACACACACACACACACACACACACAACAAATTGAAACATACTCGGAGAGAGGGAACGGGAAAATGGGAAACAAAGCCATCAGCCAGAACTGGTGTACATAGGCCCTTAATCCTATCTCTTCAGGATGCTGAGGCAGGAAAATGATATATTCAAGGCTATCATGGACTACAGAGTGAGATTAAGGCCAACCCAAGCTATGGAGAAAGCAACATAATTGAAAGTCTAGCCACAGCTCTAGGAAGGAGGCTCTGGGGTAGGATGGGGGCTCCCCAAGCAGCCCTGTCCTTTCCAACACTTACCGATGCCAATGCTGAAGAAACTGAAGAGGAAGTCGATCTTGTTCAAGCGGCGGCAGACTGGTCGAAAGGAGAGGAACATGGTGGGCAGGAGGATGAGGCACAGGGCCAGGGCCAGGAATATGAAGCCCTTGCTCATGTGAATGTAAACTGGGGAGGAGAGTTGGAGAGATAACTAGTTACCCCCAATACACACACACACACACACACACACATACACATGCACACGCATACACACATCATGTGCGCATATGCATATACACATACACAAGCGCACACATGCATGCGCACACGTGCACAGTCATGTCTGCACACACACACGCATGCTCTCTTTCTCTCTCTCAACATTCCCTCTCATACCATGAGTAGCCCAACAAATCCGCAAAATCCTGCCAATACAGGGTCCGGTGGCACACACTGTCTTCCTAGGTATTCCAGTGGCTGAGGAGGAATGCCATTTCAAGGCCTGCCGGAGCAATTTAGTGAGACCTAGACCTCATCTGTCTCAAAATACAAAGTGAAAGAAGTCTAGGGTCCTGGGGATATAGCTTCATTGATTAGAAGGCTTGCCTAGCATGTTTGAAGCCGTGCATTCCATCCACAGCACTGTGGTGAACTGGATGTTGGTGGCACTTGTCTGAAATCCCAGCACATGGAAGGAGAATCAGAAATCCTAGGGTATCCACAGCTACCCACTGAGTTGGAGGCTAGTCAGAGCTACATGAAACCCTGTCTCAAACAAGGCAGAGGATGGAAGTAGTTCAGCACCTGTCTGGAACCTTTCAGTAGGAGAGCCCTGTGGAGGTGTGCATGGGGGCATGGCTCAGCAGTAGGGCCCTGTGGAGTGTGTGCATGGGGGCATGCATGGCTCAGTAGGAGACCCCTGTGGAGGTGTGCAAGGGTCTGGTGTTTGGGTGAAAACTCCACCCCAGCTCCTGGCGTCCATATACCCAAAGAGTCTGGAATGTTCAGGAAGAAGCTCCACCCCAAGCCCCCTCCTCCCCCATCTCTCTTCAAACCCTGGTGCATCTCAAGGAAACTGCCAAATGATGACCTCTCCCCCAGAGATGCTCAAGACTACTCCCACACGGTATTTAAACTGACCCCCAGAAAACAGATACGTCGTTTTTCAGTCTCTCTTTTCTGTCTTCTCTCTGGGGGGCTGGAAGATCATCTGGGAGCGTTTTACCCATTAAATCTGGGCTTTTTCTAATTCAATTTGATTTGGTCTGATTTAGATTGTTGTGTCGGTGGAGAGGCTTATCAGGGTGCAGAAAGTTTTCACCTGGGTTCTAGCTTCAGCACTCCCAAAAAATGAAAATGGAAAAACATTAGCTCCACTCACATCACCAAAATCACTCCCTGGAAATTCTAAACTAACTCTGCTGCCACTCACAGAGTCACCCTCCAACAACCAACAATAATAACGCCCCCATGTGAGTCCTAAGCTACTCCCCTGGAGAGACTCCCAGGAGAGTGCCACTGGCCCGACCCACAGGCACCTCTGGCACCCAATTAGTAGGACCCACAACCTATGCACTGACCAGTGACTTGGCCCACGTTGGCACACTTATGCCTCCTGCAGTCAATCCAGAGGCCGATGAAGCCAGTGTAAGGGCCGTGCACATAGGCCATCCGCCCATCCACCACGCTGAACACCAACAATGTTGCCAGGAAGATGAAGACGAGGGACCAGCCACGAAGGACCAACTTTCGGTCCTCCTCCCAGGAGCAGAGCAGGTTAGCTGAGGAGGGAGAAAGTTTGGGGGACCTGGATCTTTCTCCACCACCTTGCGGCATACCAACCTCTAGCTTCATTCTCATTTTCACCTCCACCTCCCACCTACAACTACCTCCCCATGGGAACTCTTCCCAGCTCATCTCCAATACCACTTTAACTCCTTCCATGTGCACTGGCCTCTTTTGACACATTACCAGCCCACTGCTAACCCCAACTCAATGCTGGGCCACCACACATTCACCAAGTCTCTCCAAGGGGCTTCTCCTGCCTCTAACAGCTGCCTACCCTGGGGCCTCGATGCAGTGTACCTCTTCTTGGGACACCTTCATTGGTTTGGATTTGGGTTTTGCTTTTGTTTTGAGACAAGGTTTCATATAGCCCAAGCTGGTTTCTAACACACTAAAGAGCAAGGACTACCCTGAGCCTCCGTCCTCCACCACCCAAGGGACGGGATAACAGGTGTGCACCAGCAATTCCGGCTCATGAAGTGTTGGGGACATGGAGTTCTGGGCATGCCCTGCCTGCACTCTACCGAGTGAGCCCCCCCCCGCCCTCATTGTGCACATTTCCTTGATCTCCCACAACCACCCACCCTTTCATTTCTCTTCCTTCTCTCTCCTTCCCTGAGCTTAGCCCAGAACTGTTAGTCCCCAGAACTCTCAGTTCCAGTCAGTCAGCCTGTTAGATGCTTCCACGCGGTTCAAGGTACATCTCCTTCACAGCAAACCACAGATTTGTGATTCATCACTTGCTAATTGTTTTTCCCTCACCAATCCTCTGCAGCAGTGTTTCATGGCGGTGGGAAAAAAAATCTGTTTTGCTCTCCTGTGTACTCCAATCAATTAGCAAAGAAGCTGTTGTGCTTGTTAAGTAAAAGGAGTAATAAATGAATGTATGAATGGATGCAAGAATGAATGAATGCACATATGAACAAGTGCGTGAGTGGACACATAAATGAACAAGTGCATGAACAAACTCAGGAATGGATGAATGTGTAGGGAAAACTATACAGCTTCAGCTGGCTCTGGAATGTAGGCATGTAGCCTTAATCTGTCCTATGTCTTCAGCATCTTCTGTTTAACATATGTGAATCATGGTCTGAGAGTTTCCCAAGTGGGATAGAGATGGGTACTTTGCATTGGTATGGATCTTGGTTTATTGATACAAATTTAAGGTCAATTTTGTTATATATTTATAAATATATATATATATATATTGATTAAGGTATTGTGATTGTGCATTTCATTTAAAATATGATGTATAATTAAGAAATACAGGTTAATAGATAATTATCTATAACAGTCAAGCTTATAGTCATGTTAGTTATATTTTCTAGATGTACAGAAATGTATTTTAGATGGATAGGCATTCTTCAAACCTTTCAAAGACTACAGAATATGGTATTTAAAATGTTTTAAGAACTTAGGACTTTTCATGACAGTGAGACACGTCTGCTCCTGGCAGCGCCAATAAATTCAAAAGGATCATTGAAAAGGCTCCTTATGGAGTTTGTTAGCCATTTGGGCAAGGAACTGCTCTTGCTTGGACTCCTTGATGGTATGTTGGGTGAACTGGACATGCAGTACCCACAAAGAAATGACTGCTGAACTTGCTTAAAGGTGAGACTGTCCTTTGGAGTTCCTGCTTCATGAAAGAGTCAGACATTCTGCAGGACACAGAAGAAAGTGACTGACAGACTGCCAATATAGGCAGAACTGTATTTGAAGTTTCCTGCTTCATGGAAAAGTCTGCAGGATACTATGGGCCTGTGGGCTGAAGATGGATGCCCCAACAGTACAGAACTCTGGGTAACTGTCCAGGCAGCGAGATGTCTCTGTCAATTCCAGAGCTTTGGAAGTTGCCTACAATGCACCTCCTGTTTACTTAGGTAATATTATGTCCTTCTGGAGTCTTTGATGGAGTTGAAGAATTGATAGTTATACAGTTTTTCTTAGTTATAATAAACCTGTTTTGTTGTATGTAATTTTTCTATGTTAAAGTTAAAACCTTCCTTCTTATTTAAACAGAAAAGGGGAGGTGATGTGTGAATACCATTGGTTAATAAAGAAATTGGCTTGGCCTGATAGGGTAGAACAGAGTTAGGTGGGGAAAACTAAACTGAATGCTGGGAGAAGGAAGGTGGAGTCAGGGGAGAAGCCATGTAGCCCTGTCTGAGACAGATACCTGAACTTTACCTGATAAGCCACATTGTCTCGTGGCAATACACAGATTAATAGAAATGGGTTAAATTAATATATAGGAGCTAGCAGATAAGAAGTTAGAGCTAATAGGTCAGTCTGGGCGATTGGGAAACAAACAAGCAGCCTCCCACTACACCCAAGGGTACGAAGCCTATTCAAAACTTGGTTGGGAAAAATCCAGCACACTGTCATGATAATTCCTTAATTGAGAATTTGCATTTGGAATTGTCCCTTTGGAAGCTCAGTTAGGATGTTTTGGGGATATGGAAATCAACTTGCTAAAGTTGTAAATTGGAGAATAAAAAAGGTCCCTGGCTGAGGGAGAGCATCTTAGTCCCCCTGCAACTGGAAAGGCTAAAATCATCCACGGACCCATGTGAATGCACGCCTGTTCTACAACAAGAATGTGTGCATGAGCAATGGCAACTTCTTTCTCGTCCTTTACAGCAGAGAACAGTGTAGTTTTCAGGAGAACTTGGGTACAGAGTCCTAGGACTCAGAGAAGAGCTTGGTGGCTAACTGATCACCAGCTCCTCAGCTGGTCCGGAAGGCCGGCTCCTCAGCTGGTCCGGAAGGCCGGCTCCTCAGCTGGTCCGGAAGGCCGGCTCCTCAGCTGGTCCGGAAGGCTGGCCCAGCCTTCTCAGAGTGGATCACACATACACACACCCAGATCAATGTGATAAGTGCCGTGCAAGCAGAAACAGTCTAGATGTCTAACAGGAGGGGAGATCTGAAACATGCAGCAGGTGCAGCAGGCACGCAGTGCGCAGGCGGCAAAGGCTATGTATTCCTCCTTTTCTAGAATAGAACCCAGGCTCAACTCTTGATATTTTAATTTTTTGAGACTGAATTTCCCTATATAAGTCTGACTGGCCTGAATTTACTCTGTAGACCAGTCTGACCTGGAACTCACAAAGATCCACCTGCCTCTGCCTCTGCCTCCTACGTTCTGGGATCAATGGTGAGCACCACTATATCCAGCTGCTAAGATGAACTCTTAATGGGGTCCTGGAAGGTGTGTGTAGCATTTTCTGGTTGCTATTCCTTGAGAAGAATTTCACATAAGCCAGGCTGGGCTAACCACGACATGTACCTTAGGATATCTTACACTTCCGATCTGTCTCCACCTCCCCAGTACAGGGATGACAGCAGTGCCTGGTTTGTGCCAGGCGGGGGTGGAACTAGGGCTTTATGCTAAATGAACACTCTGCTGAGCTACAGACCTAGCCTTGGCTTTGTGGTTTTGGTCTGAGGGTTTGTTGTTTGTTTGTTTCTGTAGATAGGAGGGGAACATGAATGCCACAACCTAAGGGAGTCAGTTCCCTCTTTCCAGCATAAGGGTTTAAATCATCAAACAAGCTCCGGTCCTCAGACTCAGCACCAGGCGCTTTTGCCTGCTGAGCCACCTCACTGACCTAAATTTTGGTTTTATTTATTTGTTTGTTTTTGCTGTTTGTTTGTTTTTAGATAGGATTTCAGTATTGACCTGGAACTCACTATGTAGACCAGACAGCCTCTGACATCCTGGGGATTCTCCTGCTTCAGCATATTTAGTCCTGATAGTAAAGGACTGTGCCAACTAGTTCAGCGGGTGCTTCTGATTTAAACCACCATTGTTTCGTTGTGAAATTTGGTTCCAGCAGCCAAAAAAATCTCAACAATGGGATATACCATATTTCATGCCATTTTGGAATGCAGCTTTCTCTTAGATTTTGGTGTGGAGACAGAACTCACTGTGTATATCAGGCTGGCCTTGAACTCAAACTGATCTGCCTGCCTCTGCCCAGCGCCAGTACTACCAAGCCTGGCTCAAAGTTGCAGTTATAACCCCTTAGAACTGGAAAGCATAGTATAGGGTGTCAGACATGTCTCAAAATTCACCTCTGACCTTTAAAAATAAAAAATTAACAATATCTACTAAGGCCAGGCATAGTGGTGCACACCTTTAATCCCAATACTCAGGAGACAAGGAGCAGACTATGTTTTTGTGAGGTTTCAGAGGAGGATGAAGGGCAAGAGAGACAGGAAAGAAAAGGGATCAAGTGAAACACAAAGGCAGAGAAGGGAAGAAGAGAGAGGAACTGGCTCAGAGCAAGCTCGGGAATTGGGGGAAAGACACAAGTAGGTGGAAGGAATTATAAATTCAGATCTTCTGGAAACTAGAACTCATCTCAAACATGCTGCTAACCCAACCCTGACTCTCAGTCCTGCCTAGCCCTGACCCTAGCCAGACCTAGCCCAGACCTTCACTAACCCAGCATCACCCTGTCCTACCCAAATCCAGACTCCATCCAGTCCCACTGACCCAGCCCTAACACCCAGGTACTCACAAAAGTCTATGGTGGAGTCTGAGGCCATGGCCAACCGCAGCCTCTTGGAACCCCTCCAACTGTCATAGAACCCACCCCACCCCCAGCTGCTGCCTAGCCCAAATTCCTGAATGTTGTCTGGGAACAAAGAGACAGACAGCAAAGGGGCAGGTAATTTTAGAGTCAGACCTACAGGTATCCAGGATGCTATGGGAGTGCCTGGAAGCAGAGGCTACAAACTGAGTACATTCAGGGACTGACTCCATCCTGCTTCTCCACATGGACCAGAACTCCTCTGGCCTCCAGAGCAAGGGGACAGTAGCTCCCTACAGCACACAAAATGAAACCCAAGTGTCTCTGAAAGTAACCTCCAGCCTCCCAGATGCCACCCAAGGTCAACAGGTCAATACGCAAGCACCTGTGCCCATCATCCACGCTCGAGGACACAACATCCAGGAACCATCAACATCCGCACCTATGACCCGAAGGGTGAGCATCCAGGAACCGCCAGCATCCGTCTTTCTTCCTCGGAGGCTCAGTGTCCAGTCTTCTTCCCTTCGAAGGGTCAGCACTCTAGAGACCCGTTCTCAGGGTTTCCAGTCCGATACACAAGACATACAATCTGTTGCCTATAATCGCTGGCTTAGTTCCAAAGAGGGCTCTTCCCTTTACCATAATCGCCGACTTGACATCCTAAGTTCACATACTCTGTGCAGTGTCCAGTCAGAAACCCCTAGCTTACAAACTGACAGCCAGCTCTCCTTGACCCAGCCACACAACCTCAACAGAAAACAAAGCAGGCCCAGTGTGGACGTCCCCCCATCTATAACACACAGTCCAGAGGCCAGCATCAGGAGCTTTGAGTCCTTCATCTGGGACTCCAAGGACAATTTGGGAGGATTGAAACACCACTCTCTGTCCAGTCAGAGTACTATCGGCAGTTCCTTCAAATTGTCAAGCAATTCTACTGCATTGGGCTCCAGCAGGTGAGTAGAGGAGGGGTGCAGAGGGGGCCACATTCAAATTTGGACTTGTATAACTGCATTTGAAACTGGAGGTGTAGCAGGTGTTAGAGGGGTACCCGAGTGAAACATAAGGGATTTGAACAGATACAATGCAGATGAGATTCAGTGTTTTGTTTTGTTGGAATAGGGTCTCTCTATGTAGACCAAGCTGACCTTGAACTCAGACCCTCTTGTCTCTGTCTTCTATGAGTGTGCCACCATACCTGGCTTCTCAGATGGGATTTGAAGAATGGTTGTGGGGTGGTTGGGCAGTGTGAATGGACTTTCCTGCTGATGCTGGTCACATGATTTGTCACAGAATGCAGAGCAAACGCTGGTCACTGGTGCCCATAGACTGGAGACTGATACTCGAAGCCAAGAAGATCAGCCGGTACCTTAGCCTAGTACTGACTGTGGCCGGTATGCTGATGCTCAGCCTCATCGCCTTGTGGCAGCCCTGGATCCACTTCCAAGTGCCTCTGTCGCCCACAGGGAGCACCAGTGGTTCCAAGACCATCTTCATTGACACCATCTTCTTCATGCGCTGCCCTGACATCTCCTGCATGAATGAATATGATAAGAATGCTTGTAAGGTTGGCCCTGTCCTCACCCCCCACCCCATACTCAGGAATCCTCTTTGTCCCAGAGAACTTCAAAGAACAATTTCTCCCCTCCTTAGGTACTTGCTGATGCCCATACAATTTCTTCATGCCTAAGAACCTGATGTCATTGACTAAGAAGTAGATCCCACATGCCAGACCTGATGAATCCAATTCCCACTTTTTAGAGTTCAGTGTTGGTTTGTGTGTGCATGCATAAGTGTGCAGGTGCAAGTATGCCCGTGAGTGTGTGTGTGAAGGCCACAAGACAACTTCCAGGTGTCTTTTCTCAGGAACCATCTTAGTAAGGGTTTCAGTTACTGTGATAAAACACTATGACTAAAAGCTATCTCGACCTGTGGGATGCGAACGGTGATCCCTGATAAACCTAGAGAAGAAGAATGGAGGGTACAAGAGACACGAGAAATGACGGCAAGGCAATATTTCTGATCAAACCGCCGTTTATTATATCCTCAGAAGCTGTTACATAGCAAACGGGCAAGGGGGAGGGGAGATGTGTCAGGTCTCTTGGAATTCAGGTATGGAGACATCCCTAGCTGATAGGTAAATACTGAGGGTCTGTGATTGTTGACTAACAAAGGAAAAAGCTAATGTTTTCTAAAAGCCTGATGCCTACAGGTCTCACTAGGCTAATGTCCTAGGTCCAGAACTTGCCTGCAAAGGTGAATATCTTACTTGTGAAATTAAGATGGCTGTAAACAAAATACAGATCTCAAAATACAGGTCTTTGCTTCTGGCAAAAAGCAATTTGGGGAGGGAAGAGTTTATCTCACCTTCACTGAAGTGGCATCAGTTGAGTTGCAGCAAAGCAAAGCATTAGTTTTCATGGTCCTTAATTCAATCCTGGATAACTCCAGTTCCAGGTAATCTAATGCCTTCCTCTGGCCTCAAGGAGAGAGAGAGAGAGAGAGAGAGAGAGAGAGAGAGAGAGAGAGAGAGAGAGAGAGAGAGACTGCTGGTTGGTCGTCTGTGTCTGCATGTGTCAATGTATGTGTGTGTGTGTGAGAGAGAGAGAGTCTGTGTGTGCATGTATGCATGTGCACACACATGTGGAGGCCAGAGGTTAATGTCAGGCACTTCCTCAATCACTTTGCACCTTAATTTTTTTTTTTAAGATTTATTTACTGGAGACCGATTCTACTGTGTAAACCAGGCTGACCTCAAATTCACAGAGATCTGCCTTCTTCTGCTTCCCAAGAGCTGAGATTAGAGGCATGCCCCACCATGACCACCTATTTTTAATCTTTATTTATGTGTCTGTGTGTGGACATGTGTACATTAGTGCGGGTGCTCACAGAAGTCAGAAGATGTCATCATATTCCCTGAAACTAAAGCTACAGGTGGTTGTAAGCCACCTAGTGTGAACTTAGGTTCTCCAGAAGAGCTGTGAGCACACTTAACTGCTAAGCTAAGCCATCTCCTCAGCACAGGCTTGGTGTTCTTGATTCTCTTTTCCCAGACCTGCTGGACCTGGCCTGGGCCTGCCTTCTCATCTCCGGTGTCATGAGCTTCTGTGTCTGTATGGGTCTCATCAGCACCATATTCTTCCCCAGCACCAACATGCCCTTGATGGACTTCTCTCTCTTCATCTGCAGCCTCATGACAGGCATGTTACTACGAAGCTTCCCACGAATGCCCATCATGAAGGACAGCCACACTTACTCTATACTCAGCCCATCCCAGCCTCATCTCTTACGTCCATCTCAAAGCCAGCAAATCTAAATGCCCAGACCTCCTCCCTGACACCAGTTCCATCTCCACCTCATCCTGAATCCATCTTTTCCCAAACCACACTCCTTACTATCCAAGCCTTACTACCCTCCTTGACTGTCTCAAGTCAGCCCAGCCACGTCCATTTACTAAGTTCGACCTTACCCTGAGTCCCAATTCCTCTGTAGCTTCACCTCCTTCTCAGTCCGTACTCTACCCTACCAGCTGTGAACATCCCCTAGAACTCATCCCAACTCCATCACCTTCTTCAGCCCCATCCAAGGATATCATCCACCCAGTCTCATCCCTAGCCTGGACTCCACCTCTACTACACGCAGCTCCATGTGCGGTTCTGCCCGCCTTCCCAACAGCATTTCCTTCAAACTACATCTTTCCAAGTCATAATTCTTTCATATCTTGAGTGGGGATACATTTTCCTTTTCCTTTTTTTAAACTGGGCCTCAAGTAGCCGAGGCTGACCTTGATTGACATATATATGCAGTCAAGTATGTCCAGTATGTCTGTGAACTTCTGCTCCTCCTGTTCCTATCTCCCCGGTGCTGGGATAACAGGTGTGTGCTGGCACACCAAGTTTATGTGGCTCTGGAGATGGCTTTGTGCATGCTAGGCGAGCACTCTACCAACTGAGCCACATCTCAGCCCACTGAAGATAAAATTTTCTGTCATGTGATAACGTAGTGAGTATTCAATTAGAAAACATCAACTCCGTTATCTTTGTCACGGCATTGAGTCCTGAGGTTGGTGTGTCTGATCTTACGAGCTGGGCAAGTGTCCCTTTCATCCTTCACCTCTCATTACCCTTGGTCAAGGTCATATAAATAACTGAAAATCCCCTGGTAAAACCTCCAGACAAGTTTCTAGGGCCATGAGGCACATGGGTTAGTGACACATCTAAGTCTCCAGGCACATGCAAACGGGGTGCTCTATGTGGTCTCCTTCCCAGGTCTGAAATGCCAGCACGCAGGAGGCTGAGATGTGAGGATGTGAGAGAGATAGAGGGTCAGCACTTGAAGCTAGCTTGTTCACCCTTCCTATAGTCACCCTCTCCCAAATGCTTCCAAACTGACATGCTGGCTAGAACATGTTTCCGTACAGGTGCCCAGACTGTAAAAGGTAGAGTGCATTTCAATTTGGCGACAACTCATGTTGTCCTCCTGTCCTTGGCAATAACTGACCACAACTTCCAGTCATGTCACAAACATGTTTGGAGAGGAACAGCATTGCTGGGAACAGAGGACATGCAGCTCCTGTCGGCAGGTCGCTAGCAGGTGTCTGCTTTGTGGGGTAGCACGTGCTAAATCACCAATGTGTCTGTTTCTAGCTGGGCTGCCCAGGAATCCCGGCCACCCACCTGCTTCAGTCTCTCCCTTGCTGGGATGAAGGCATCACAATGGTCTAAATACAACTGTTGAGACTGGAAAGAGAGCTGGTTAAGAGCACACAATGTTCTTGCAGAAGACCAGAGTGCTGTTCCCAGAACCCACGTGGCAGATCACAACCACCTGTAATGCCCCCTCTAGGAGGAGCTGATGTCCTCTTCTGGTCCCTGAGGGCACTGCATCCAGTTGTGAACAACCCCCTCCCCACAAACATACCTAAAATTAAAAAAGAAAATAAATCTTAAATATAATCGTTTCAATATAAGCCACAGTAGATAGAGAACACCTCAGTTTAAAACAAGGCATTTCAGTCAGAAAACCCTTTCCCATCCTTTAACTAAATACATTATTTTCAATAACGCAAAAAAAGTCCCAATTCTGTTAAATCTGAAAGTGTTTTTTCTCCCTTT